CTCCCCATACTCTACCTTTCAAAAGATCAACCCCTCATTCAATTCTCTCTCTCTCTCTCTCTCTCTCTCTCTCTCTCTCTCTCTCTCTCTCTCTCTCTCTCTCTCTCTCTCTCTCTCTCTCTCTCTTACAAAATGTATGCACGCGGGGAAAGGAAATGAGAGTTTCCAACCAACCTCGGAGATGTTCCCGCAACCCAGTAATGAAACATGCCAACACTACCAACCAGCAGTGGACAAACGTGGAGACCAGTCGTGCAAAATTGCAGGAACGCACGAGCCACACTTATCTCAATTATTCCTCGAAGATTGACATTACACCCTGTTCATGTGAAACACAAGTCAGACTTGTCGATTACAATAATCAATGATACTTTCAACGTTTGGAGAAAAAAAAAGCACGGCGCAATTGTGATGTATCATTTTCAAACTGCGTGCGTCAACTTCATTACAAGTTCACAGAGAGAAACGAAGCACAAAGAGAGAGAGAAAGGTAGTAGATAGAGATCTACATAACAAAACAAATGGTACAGATAACCACCAGCAGTCCGAGCCACCTACTGTGGTCATAACAAAGAGAGAGAGAGAGAGAGAGAGAGAGAGAGAGAGAGAGAGAGAGAGAGAGAGATGTGTGTACGTTTGTATGTGAGTTGTGTGTGTATGTAGTGGAGCCTACCGAGAGAGAAGGGGGGAGAGAGAGAGGATCCCTCTGAAGGACAACGCCAAGGACAACGCCATCATCGACAAGGAGCTCAACAAATACAACAATATTTGTACTGACGAGTCCAATGACGACCTAATTCAAGAGATCTACACCGCTGGTCCCCACTTCAAGGAGGCAAACAACTTCCTACGGCCGTTCAAGCTCAACTTTTACTCTCGGCGGATTGAAAAAGAAGAGAACATTGTATTGAGGGCGCTGATGCGGGTGACAAGGAGACAAAGATCAATGCGCTCATTCAGATACTGAATTAGGTTTTTTATTCCTTGAATCTTAGGCATTATATGTTGTCGATATGCAGATCACTTTCGCTGAAAGATGTGGCGCTGTAGGATGCTAATGAGGTCTGTGTCTGTGTGTTGATATCGGTCTGCTACGCTGATCAGCTAGGAACATGCATAGAGGTGAGAAGAGAGCTTAGTGTCATGCACCCGATTGAACTTCCATCTACAACGAATTCACATGTTCCCATACACGCCTGCAATTACAAAGTAGACCCGAAGGAGGCAAATCCACACAAAACCGGAGATAAGATATGCACAACGGAAGCTCGAATTACACAGAGAATTGAAAAACGAATTTCAATTCTGTAATTCCCCGTCCTCCTCCAATCAATCCAAAGTGCTTGTTCCAAAAATCACAACCTCTTTTTTATAACAACCCGCAACAACCAAAAACAAGTGTTCAACGAAGTCTACAGGAGTCTTCTTCTTCCTCCTCGCCACCTCATACCCCTGGCTATGGCTGTTGTAGCAGCAGTAACCCCACAACTGTCACAACGTGCCAGTCTAAACCAGCAACCCCAATGATAACAACGCCAGCTCAGCGCCTGCACATCAGTGAAGCGCTCGAAGTCCTGATGAAGAAGGAGACGACCAATCCAACACTTTGAAGAAGAGAAAAATAAAGTTACTCATGAGGAGGAACAACAAATATGGCTGCCAAGTGGAGTAAGGCAGCGCCCAAACCCAACAACACAGTCATGTGGAAGCTCTCATGCAGAGCTGCAGAATAGCAGCAGTGCAATCTCCAACTTGATTTCCCAGCCTCAGCTATGGCTGGGCTTCGAGGAAGAAGATGCCCTAGCCCAAAATAACGCAGCAACGCTTCGTCAATGAACGGGCAGAGTTTCCCCCAGCCGAAAAAACGAGAAAAACCCGACTTAATTGTCCTGCCCGCTACTTCTACCCTCTGCCTAGACCTACGACGGCCTCCCCAAAGCAACAACCAAAGACCTATCTGTATCTAGATGGAAACAGGGGAAAAGGGGGCGTAGACCTATGACAAGGCAAATGAAAAAGGACGAATGGCCTAGGACTACCAAACAAAGACTACTAGTGACAGACGCAGGGATCAAGCCCTATAGGGCACAACACTCACAAACAAAACACACAGGTTACAGGTCACGGGATCAGGTCCCCCAAGGTTCAAAACACACAAACAGCAAATAAAGAGGCAACACAGCAAAGGGACAAAATTAGCATACAGCCCGCTTGTAGCACTGTAATTCATTGCATTAGCATGGAGTTGTCCGGAAGAATAAATGTTGTAGATGTGATTACGTCTGAGTATTGTGTGCGAAATGCCGGTCTTATATAAGCTGCGGTGTAGGGGACGATGTGCATGAAAGGAAGATTTAGGGCTGTTACCTAAGTGTCACAGGTTGTAGGCGGATTTTCGGATTGATTCGAATATCGTTGAGCAGTTTCAGAATGGTGTCGAGTCTGTTTGAGTCTATCTGAGTGAGTTTGAGCCTGTTTGAGTCTGTGTGACTCTGTGTGACTCAAAAGGGATTCGAAACAAGCCCGAACTGGCTCAAACCGTCCAGTAACAATGAAAAATAGACTTCTCCAGTAACAATGAAAAATAGACTTCACACAGACTCACAGACTGAAACAGACACACATACTCATCACAGACTCAGAAAGACTCGAGCAGACTCACAGAATCGAACATACTCATCATAGACTCAGATCGACTCAAACAGACTCACAGACTCAAACATACTCATCACAGACTCATCACAGACTCATCACAGGATGAAACAGACTCACATATACTCAGATAGATTCAAACAGACTCACAGACTCAAACAGACTCACACAGACTCATCACAGACTCATCACAGACTCAAACAGACTCACACAAACTCATCACAGGCACATCCGATGACTCACACAGACTCAAACAGACCCACACAAACTCACACAGACTCATCACGGGCTCAAACGGACTCAAACAAACTCTAGGCTCAAACTGACCCAAACAGACTATCATTGGCTCAAACGGACCCAAATAGAAAAACACACGCCCGGTCGACCGGCCGGTAGGACAGGTCCGGTTCCGGCTGGGGGAGGGTCCCCCGGTCCTACAGGGTTTGGAGCCTTGGTGCAACCAACAACATGTATCTATTATCATGGGATTATGTATGTATGTATGTATGCATGCATGCATGTATGTATATATGTATGTATGTATGTATGTATGTATGTATGGGTGGATGGATGGATGGATGGATGGATGGATGTGTGGGTGTGTGGGTGTGTGGATGTGCCCATGTGCGCATGTATGCATGTATGTATGTCCGTATGTATGTATGTATGTATGTATGTATGTATGTATGTATGTATGTATGTATGAATGGATGGAGGGATGGATGGATGGATGGATGGATGGATGTGTGGATGTATGCATGTAGAGGCAGAACACACGGCAAGCAAGAGAGCAGCCGAGCAACGAGGCTGCACCCACAAGAGAACCACAAAATGTAGACGGAGGAGCAACAAGGCAACAAGGCAGCACAAGCAAGGCAGCCCACTCAAACAGTACGGACTGAAGCAAATCATTACCTACTCACATCGGAAGTAGAACTCTACGGACTGTAGGTTCACACCACCATCAGAGCTCGCAAGTCTCTTCGATAAATGTCTGTCGTCACCAGGGAGCACAGACACACGAACATCCCAGACACAGCTGCCCCCCCTAATACTGTTCCAGTCACGCCAAACGACACTGCTTATTTGGCACATCGTAGAGGTTCTCACTTAGACAGGGAAAAAACACAGGAAAATTTATCAGAGAACGCAGAAGAATAATGAAAAGAAAGGGAAGTTATGCATAAATATGATGATTTTGTCTGTGTTTGTGGGTGTGATACAAGTCCGAAACCATCGGACAACATAATAGTAGTAGTGGCAGGTAGGTAGTGTGCGGTGAAATTGAGATAAATATGTAGCTTACTTTTGAAAAAAAAAAAAAAAAAAAAAAAAGTAACGCTACCAACTGCCCTACCTCAGTCCGTACACCCCCGTGCTGTTGAAATACAGACTGCCCTAGCTTAGTCCGTACATCCCCGTACTGAGCTAGGGCAGTCCTTACAACCCCGTACTAAGCTAGGGCAGTCACCTCCGTACTGTTGAAATACAGACTGCCCTTGCTCAGTCCGTACACCCCCCTATTGAGCTAGGACAGTCCGTACACCCCCGTACTCAGCTAGGGCAGTTCGTACACCCCCGTACTGAGCTAGGGTAGTCACTCCCGTACTGTTGAAATACAGACTGCCCTTGCTCAGTCCGTACACCCCCGTAATGTTGAAATACAGACCAGAGTTTGAACTCCACTTGAACCAAATGAACGAAATACGGGGGTGTACTGACTGCCCTAGCTCAGTATAGGGGTGTACGCGCTGCCTAGCTCAGTACGGGGGTGTACAGACTGAGCTACCTAGGGTCGATCCGCTCGATGATGACGTCTCAAGGTTGTCGCCCTTTCCGGAAAAAAAAAAAAAGGGAAAACTTCAAAAAAGGAATGCTTATACACAGTGGGAGGGGGGGCAGGGGAATTTTTAAAAAAATGCTTCTCTGGGAAAAGCAGACACGTCTTCTTTGGCTTGAAATTCAGTGTGAAATATTTGTGTGCTCTTCTTTTTATTTCTCCCTCGTCACTTCTCTGGGGCCGAGTCCCACTTGCACTGTTGAGTTGAGCTAGCTCAACGGTGTGACAGCTTTTCAAGCATTTTTTAATTCATTAGAAATGAAGAAAGCTATTTTTTTAATGTCCGGACGTTTTTTTTTAATCATTTTTTTCTATTTCATTTTTTTCGCTTTTCTCCTCACGCACACATGACGATGCAGGAGGGTCACAATCAGGAAAACAGGACAGCGTGAGGAAAATAACTTCCTCTTGAAGGCACCTATCCACTAAAGGCGGCCAAATTCAACAACTCGTGTGAAAGTACTACCTGACCGCCTCGTTGCTCCGTTTGCAGAATTGAGCTTCAGACGTTGCTCCGTTTGCAGAATCGAGCTTCGGACGGTAGGGTACTATGATACGTCACAAGCCAGGCTCATTATGTCAATAAAAGTTGTTGTTCCGTGAGAAATCGTCGTTGAGCTGGCTACCAAGGAAAAAAAAAACGAGAGCTAGCTCAACGGAAGGGCGCTTGGGTAGGGGGCGTTCTATTTGAGAAAAAGGCATTTTACTCTGGTCTCCAATAATTAAAAAAAAAAACAAGAAAAGGAAATATATTTTTTTTTCCCTTGAATCCACGGCTGGATTCGCAGGGACATCTAGCATCTTCGAGGTCGCGCCGTGTCACATGT